AGGCACATTACGCAGTTAAAACCTTTCTAAAGAGGAATGTTGAACATGCATTAATGAATTTAAAGGAAACGCTCATCCTCCTCCGCTTGGTTGGGAACTCCAGCATAACTCTGTTATGCCGGGCGTTTACCATCAGTGTAAGTGCTTAAGAAACGTTTTTAATTAAGAATACATGCAGAATACTGGCTACAGGGGGAGAAAAAACTCGTTCATCTTTAGGAATTTTTTCCTGGTGTGGCCATAGAACTGACTTCGTACATAGCATCAGTGGAGTAATCAAGCCTTCAGGAGGCAAAAATAAGAGTACTTAGGGCTTCTTTATTTTGAAGTAAATGCAAGTTGAGCCTGTCACTATCTCAGTCAGTTTTAGTTTTGCTAACGAGTAGGTAGCCATTAATTAGGGGCCAGTTACTATTTATTAGTAGGGGGGTCTTCAAAGGATTTTGAGGGGTGTACCTGGCCGCTTTCCGGGGGGGACGGAGAGGAGATCAGTGGTCGTCAAGAGAGTACAAAGGAGGAGTTATAGAAAATTGATTGCCAATTAACTTCTAACGAGGAAGGATCATATTCATATTCAACATAGCTGTAACGTTGATGTTATTAGACTAATTTCAATAACTTTGTTTTACAGCTCACAGAAACAGCCCTAGCGCTGGAGCTTGTTACCGGCGGTGATTTAGCTGGAGTTCTCAAAGCGGAGGGAGGAAGAGTGAGTGAACAACGCGCCAGGTAAGATTTGAATAAACAGAGATTTTACGCCTTGAGAAGGAAAAGGCGTGATTTTCCCGGAAGGATTTAAGATTGACATCCTAGTTGCCACTCATGCTCATCACATCTTTATCAATCTGCAGGCTTTTTCTATACTGCTGTCAATAGATTCACTCTTGAGTTTGAAGACCTGCAGTTGCTCACTTTCTTTTGACTGAGCCCAAATTAGAACTTAGTAAGTCACCTAAGAGTATTCATACGACAACGTCTGGTATTTCAGGTGTTACGCAGTCGATATCGGTCAGGGATTGAAATATTTGTATTCGAAAAACGTCATCCACAGGTATGTTTGTGACATAATGTACATCATGTTGTCTTTTTCCGAAGGAAATTTGCTGTCTTCTTCAGAATATTGGAGACTTTTGTAAAACAACACGGACTATTTAAATGACCTTTTCTGTCAAACCAGCTCTCTCGATGCAAAGCCGCTGAAACATGATGTGGCACTGGAGAACGAACAATCTTAGTAAAATACATTTGTTTTTAAAATGAAGGCGTCACAATTGACATGAACTTTGTGGGATCGGAATCGAGAGAGAACAAGCAGAAGATAATTTTTTGCTATTGTAGCAGAACAGTCGATGTGAATTGCCCCTGATGTGAAGAAATGTACACGAAAGTTGATTGAAACAAGTTGTTTCAACCTTTTATTCACCAGAGATATAAAACCGGCAAATATCCTGGTAACCTCAAATGGCCACCTTAAACTGTCAGACTTCGGTCTGAGCGAAGTTGTCGCCTTTACAGTGACTGGCACATGTGGAACTTTTGCATATATGGCTCCTGAGGTACAAGACACTGTAGATTAGCAGATCCCCTCGCTAAGTCCTAGTTCAAATGGCTGGCTTTTTTTTTTACTACTTTTTTATCTTCTCCGCAAAAATGACTGTGAATTATGTTTTTCTCAATTCTCCATTGAAGATAAAATCACCATAGCGACGATAATACCTCCCCTCAGTTCTAGGAAAAAAAGATAGTAGGGGACCCCTGCCAGTAGAATCTGATAGTAGGGGACCCTTACTAGTACATTCTGATAGTGGGGGACCCCTGCTAGTAGATTCTGATAGCAGGGGACCCCTGCTAGTAGATTCTGATAGTAGGGGACCCTTGCTACGAGATCCTGATGACGCCCTTGTCATCACAATGACTTTTCAAACCAGGCTCATGCAGTTGAATCCTTTTAATATAACATGGCATTCTGATAATATCGATCACAAAAATTGTTACAGTGTTAATGCGCTTTGTTTTTGCAATGCTGATAAACTGCACTCAATCTGTGTTACAGATGATAATAGGAGAGCCATATACTTATTCCGTTGACTGGTGGTCCTTCGGTGTCACTTTATTCCAGATGCTAACTGGTCAGGTTTGTACAAGTCATATTGCAACTAATTAAACTCAGACATACCAAACTCGCTTGCAGCGTCAATTTAACGGTAATGACAGGAGCATTACACTCTCAACTTTTAAGTTCATTTCGAGACTATACACAATAACTCGCCCTACGGAAGGATACAAATGCTTGTGAATCAAACTTTTGACAAAGAAGTAATCATGACTTGTTCAAGCGAATAAAAAGGAAATGGCCTGGGGATGACTGAGGAACAAAACAACCAAAAAGCATGCCTCTCCCCTCCCCTCTGCCTCCCCTAAACTTATCTGGCTTTCACCTAAAACAGAAAGACACATACGCACAAAGCCTAATTATCAGAATGTGATTGATTGTGAAATGAGCAGCATGTTTGCAATGATAAATGAAATCTTTTCTTTTTTCTGTTTATTTTCCTACATATTTACATATCAGCTACCATTTTATGATGACGAAGAGAGAAATTTGTTTGAAAACATCGTGTATACGACCCCTGACATCCCCGATTGGCTGGGGACTGAGGCCAGAGATTGTCTTTTAAAGGTCAGTAAACGAAACCCAAAGTTATGTGATTAAAGTAAATCAATTTCTTCCTAGACAAAAGAGGACCTCAAACATTAATTGAACCTTTTTTTCACATTTAAAGTAAAAGATGTGTTCATGAAAGATTGCGGATCACAATTATTCACGATCAATTAAAAGGACCCAATGTGCTTAGCGGAGAAACTAATAGAAACCCTTATCAGCAAAGTGTTTTTGAATAAGTATTTTTGGCAAGTACCATAGATCGACATTCAACTAGTGAATAGTACAGTTCGAGTAGTATCTCAACTTTAACTGAAAGAAATCTTTTATTTCTGTACAAGCAGCTTCTCCGAAAATGCCCAGCTGTTAGGCTTGGTGTTTACAATTACCATTTGCATCCGTTCTTCAGCGGAAAAGAACCCTTAGCAATTACATGTGGTTCATCGGCGCCAAATGCGACAGCAGAGAATAAGGTATGGTGACGTCAGTATCCAGTAGATCTATGATTGAGTCTTTTTAGCTGTAAGAGACTTCGTGGAAGATGGTGCATCCCTAAAATGTAGACGTGATTTCTCATGTTTTCTCCTTTATAACCTTAACAGTGTTTGTTGTCTTTTGCTTGCTTATGGTCTCTCTGTTTTTTTTTACCAATGAAGAACCCTCGACGATTAAAATCTTTATAAGTAATCACTTGTGTATCGTCTTCGGACCAAGGATAATCTGGACCATCTACCAGGCTATCGAGCCAATTTTCCACGCCAAATGATCGATTTACGTTCCTGTCGAGAAAGTTTCGCTAAACTAAAAACGAGAACCTTGATGACGTTGCAAATGTTTTTACAGTACATCGTCTCCATCTGCTTTGCTCAATATTTTATCTGCGTGTTCTCTTCTTTTCTTTAGATTAACCCTATGTCTGGATTTTCCTTTCTCCTATCAGACGAAGAAGATGTCTTCATGGCGGTAAGTGTACATTTCCCGTCTTGAAAACTGAATAAAGTCCTTTTCAAAGCCGGGTCATTATTTTGTTACCTCTCTGGGATCGATAGTTAGCCATAGTAATCGTTTTTCTGCTTAATCTGTGTTCATTGACTCGACCTGACTCCACCAGTGTTTTAAACGAAGTGCTAAATGTTACGGGTCAGGAGCGCGGGAAAACAACAAACAGTTCTGTATTTGATTGGCTGAGAGATTAACACCAGTTTTCTTGGCAACAGATATTTTTAAGTCGCCATCTTTAGTTCACACAAAAATGTGGTGATAGCATGGCCCTTCATGGGCATCGTATTTTTTGGTTGCGAAAGTGGCAGATACTCTGGCCGAGCAGCTAGCAATCTAAACTGTGAGACTAAAAGGTGCGCGATCGATTCTTCCAGCCACGGTTGGGATCTTTTCCTTTAAGTTATTTCATTCACTCATAACTAAATCAATCCATCCAATAATTCAGTTTTTTAAATTGATATTGAATCAGTTCGTTTCCTTTTTTGAAACTTGTCTCTTTTCCTTGTTCTAGGATGACACCTCTTCAGATTGATTATAAATGGTTTCGGATTTCCCAAACCTTTGTCAAAGTAGATGTGCAGTTATCAAAGTGAGTGAATGAGCAATTTTGTTAAGAAAAAGGGGCCTCTTTAATGACTCTGAATTGATTCTGAGTCTGTTACCGTATATAAACTGACCTATTTTCCCGTATGATAGCTCAGATCAAGTGTTGTTTCACACCCTGTAATCAGCACGTATATTATCCATACCGTTTTCTATAAGCACTGACAAAGACAACTTATATCTGGAATTGAACTGAACGGAGTGTAAGTTGGTCTGAGATCATAGGTGTGATTTCAAAATCGACCGAGTGACTGATGGATGGGTGAAATAAGAATGAAAGTATCCTTAAGTTCTTAATAAAAACTGCATTGATCCTGATTTAAATCTAACTATAGCTTTAGTGAATGGTAACTCACAGAAGGTTTTTTTTTACTAATCCCAGTTTTTTTTTTTATTTTTTACAGATATTAAACTGCAGCTAAATAAAATATATTTTGGATAGATCTGATTAAGGCGTGTTTCTTGTTTGTGCGTCCTTCTTGTAACCACTGAGCGTCTTTCGCTAACCGTGTCGCTCACCTCTACTGACAGAGATGGCATTAGGGGGGTCAAATTCTATCTCCTCTCTTCGTATGTCAAAGTTTTATGATGTTGCGCGTTTTTCCAAAATCTCAACAGAGCTGAATAACGTATGCTTACTCGCTAGGTTTTGGCGCGGAAAACAGATTTTGAGTCGTTGACATTGATGATTTTCTATTCTCTTGCTTCCAGGCGTTGTTTTCCTGGCCGCTTTTCTTTTGCAGAACAACTTCTATAAATTTTGTACACCCCCTAAATATTTTCGAAAAGTACCTTTCTCCTTCGAAACTTTGGAAATAGGGATATGCCTTCGACGACAACAGGGTACCTCGGTTTTGAATGCCAGCTCCCTTTTATTTTGGTAAATTTCGCTAAATTTTAAACCTAGTACACTTGAGCCCGCGTTGTTGACCGCATACCATTCATGTTATTCAGCTCTTTCGGGTAGGAGTACTTTCGGGGGCAGCCAAAGGAGCTTGGCAATGAGTCGTCTGTTATCAATCAGCGGTTGATTTTGTAATAGCGGACGTTTCAAGTCATGTTGAAAGTGGAGAATTGATAGATAAGAAAATAACTATTTGTCTCTGTGACAAAAGTAGGAAAGTAGGATGGGTACTTGCCATCGACCCAGTGACATACATCGTGGTTTAACAGAAAGAAACAGAGAACTTAAATTCCAAGAAGCTGACCTTTGTTATGGAACATGCAATCAAGTTGTATTTGAGGGAAAGAGAGGTCCCCGTTCGCCAAAGATGAACTTTCTTGAATTGGAAAGCACGCAGGAGTATTCACAAAATGAAATTGTGAAACGAAAAGGTGATCTGATTGATTGGCTGACAAAGAATCGAATCCCAGTAACTGAGAGTTTGGAAGACAGTGACGTATTGTGGGTAATGGGAGTTCTTCTGGTGGAACCTCCGTATGATCCTGAAAGCTGTAGATGTAGCAATGAAATCGTGTTAGATCGCATTCAGAGGCTTATATGAGTACGAAAAGATCGTGATTGACTAAAGGTGCTCTTCAGAGATATTTGGAACCAAATATTGCTCCTATCGATGACTTGAAATCTCGAACTTTGCCGCTTGTGTTGTAGTAACGATGAGAGTCTGCTTGTAAACTTAAGCAAACTAAGTTACAACTGACATGGTTAACTCTGCAAATTTGTGAAAAAAACTTTGACACTTTTGAGAAAGTCCATCTGAAATGGCCATCACCCGTTAAAACCAATTTCCTGAAGTGAAATTGTTTCATTACCAATTGTAAACTACTGTAAATGATCTTAAAAGCCCTCAGGGGGCATATTAACCCGTTACACATAAACATCAAAAGGCATATTTTCCATACCGTCCCCTATACATTACTGATAGAGAGATTTTTTTTGAACAATTAAGAGCTTCCTTAGTTGGCAATCATTCCCTTTAATCTCACAGCCTATGTATGTTTTGTCTGGCGAAAAATTAGATGCTGACCACTCTTAGGGTTTGAAGGGAACCATTTTTTCAGAGTGGGTGCACATTGGGAGACCAAAAATAAGAACTCTTTCTCTTTGCAACTTCCACCAATCTTTAATGAGTGACATATATAGAGTATATCTCTTTGGTTGTTTTAACTAAGATATTTAAATTATAATCCAATAGAAGCATTCAAATGTCTCTCAGTGACCGGGAAACACCTTACGCAAATAAGATCATCGAAATCTTCATCTAAAAGTTAAAATTAAATGCCCTGAGGGATATGGGATTTCTTTGTAGATGAACCAATCGGTCAGATATTTATCTTTAAAACTGAGTTTATTGCTACCATTTCCAAATTCCAATGAATGAAAAATTGGGCCAAAAGCCTGAATTTACTAAAACAAATCTTAGAATTTTATAATAGATGAGTATCACGATAGGGAAAGAGTTTCTTTCGTGGGAAGTAAATGTTCAGAATATTTCATCAAAACTTTCACTCAACGCTGATTTTTGTCTTCCCAGGAGCCCCACTGGAATATTCCATGTTTTTTAGCTCAGCAGTCAAACATTCACGCGTTCGTTTATTGATTTACTGCGAAGGATCGTGCATATATACGTTTCATAACCGCAGTTCATACATATGTTTCATATGTTTGTTGTTGTTTGATTTATCATCTACGGGTTTATGTCGAATTAATTTGATGGCCTGCTCCCAGTTGGCTTGTTAGCTCAATTGGTAGAGCACTGCACTAGTATCGCAGAGGTCAGTGGTTCGAATCCCGTACAGGCCTGAAATTTTTTTCAGGTCTGATTTTCACTATTGCTCAAATAGTGCTTTACTGCGAAGGATCGTGCATATATACATATCGCGTACTATGTTACTCTTTGCCTTCAAAAATTCAGTGGATTATTAGAAACCTAGGAAGTGATCGTCACTGATTAACTCTTTCATAGCTGAAATAAGCAATAGGTTTTTAAAGAATTTATAATGACTATTTTAGATTTGGATACCCGAAATAGCTCATCTTTTTTATTTCTCTAGGGTTTTTTTTTTTTTGTTCAGTATATAGATTTTGATTTCACTATAGTTAACGGGCTACGCTCAGGCGCCCCGTCATACTATTCTTATTGTATATACCATACAAAAGTTTTAAACTGCTGCATAATAATAAAATAAAAGACCAAGGAACAACATAATTAAAAGGAAAGAGACAATTCTTGATGATTCAATTGCTGATTAAAAGAATGGGTTTTTCTCACTTAATATGCAATGCCTCTTTGGTCTTAATTTGGTATTTTGAAGCGGCAGAATCTAAGATCGTGAAACTTTCTGTATCACAAGAGTCAAGACAGGCCCTTGATGATTGCAGGTGCTTGTAAATATGCGAAGTTTTGTCCGACAAGAGGTGCTCACGAACTCGTGTACAAATGTGGCGAGTAGCGGTCTCACCAATATAACTTGGCATTACAGCCAGCACACGAAAATTTATAAATGACACGCGAACGTAGACCTAGCGGTACGGAATCTTTCACACTGAACCTGAGTTTAAACCTAAGTTTAAACGTACTGAAGACTAACTTAACAACTAAATCAGCTCTACAATAACGTTTGAGTAGTTGTCTTAACTTAGTCTGAGCGATGTTTGAAAACCGGCCAACATAGGGAAGATTATAATACTGCGAAGAAGGTTTACCGGAGTTAGAAGAGGCGTTCTGCCCAGTAGGAGAAGGATTATTTTTCTTAGCTAGATGCCTGTAAATGATCTTGTCTATGACCCAAGATGAAAAACAATTTTTCCGTAGCAAGAAAATAAGTTTCTTGACATCCAGATGAAAACCAACCCAGGAATTATTGATCTTATATACTCTGTCAATCAATGTTCTGACTAAACCTAATTTGTAAATGAAAGGGGCGAAGCTGAAATAATTAGTAAGAAGACCAGTAAACGTCTTCTTGCGATATACACTAGTGACGATGGATGTATGACTGTTGTCTAACAATATGTCTAGAAACGATAATTTCTTATCAATTTCCNNNNCAAAACGGATGTCTTCTCTTGTTTTGAGCTGATTAATCGCACCATGGTCAGAAATCTACTCGACAGGAAGCTAAAGGGAAAACTGGTCGCAGACCTTTCTCATCTTGCCCATTCGTACGTTTCTTCACACCAACCTTCTGCAGCGGACTTAAAGAAATGTAGGATACTAAAGGATTTGAGGAAGAACAAGGACATTGTAATACTGAAGCCTGACAAAGGAAATGGCTTAGTTGTCATGGACAGGAAAGCCTACGAACAGGGTATTTTTTCCATTATCAGTGACACTTCTAAGTTTAAGGTTAATGATAACGATCCTACAATACAAAGGGAGGGTAAGTTACAACGTTTTTTAAGAGCGCTTACATATCTACTTATCAGCTACCATTTTATGATGACCAAAAGAAAAACATTTTTCAAAACATTGTTTACACAACACCCGACATCCCAATTGGCTGGGGATTGAGGCCTATGATTGTCTTTTAAAGGTCAGTAAACTAACCACAAAATTGCGTGATTGAAGTAAATAAATCTCCTTGCAGACTAAAGAGGATCTCCAAGATTAATTGAACATTATTTCACATTCACAGTAAAATAATTGTTCATCGAAGATCATGGATCACAATTATTTGCGATAAATTAAAAGGACCCAATGTGCTTCGCGCAGAAATTAGTTGTAACCCTCTTCCTAGAGCGTTTCTAAATAAGTATTTTTGGCAAGTACCACAGATCGATTTTCATCAAGGAAATGGTGCTCTTCACGTCGTATCTCAATCTTAACGAAACAATTTTTTACTTCTGCACAAGCAGCTTCTCCGAAAATGCCCAGCTTGGTGTTTACAATTACCATTTGCATCCGTTCTTCAGCGGAAAAGAACCCTTAGCATTTACATGTGGTTCATCGGCGCCAAATGCGACAGCAGAGAATGAGGTATGGTGACATCAGTGTCAAGTAGATCTTTAAATGAGACTGTCTGCTAGAGGCTTTGTGAAAGACTGGTGCATCCTGAAAATTTAGACAGGATATCTCATTTATCCATCCTCGATTCAGGTTTCCTCTTTTAGAACATTAACCTTAACAACAATACTTTATTTCAGAAAAACATGCAAATACATAATTATTAAGAAAAAGGAAACCCAGAGGTTGGCCCTATATCAAGGGTCTCCTATTTATGTAAAAAATCTTACAGAACTAGTTAATAAAAATATAAAAAAGTCAAATAAGAAACAATTAAATATCAATTATAAAATGACGATTCAATAAATGTTCATGTTTCTTCAATTTTGATTTAAACTCACGAACGTTAGGGCTGTCACAAAAATTAAATAAATTAATAGGAAGATTATTCCAGGGTTTGATAATTCTGACAAAGAAAGATTTTTTGTAACAGTTCAGTTTTGCGAGTTTGAGTTGTAGTTTATATGGGTAACCGTGAGTAACCGTGTTTGCTTTCTTTTGCTTGCTAAATATCTGCCCCACGATTAAAAATTTCATCAACTCAAGTAACAACTTTATTTAGCTCCTAATAAAACTTTTTAGTACTGGCAATTATCCGTACACCGTCTTCGAACCAAGCATAATCTGAACCATGTGCCAGGCCATTGAGCCAGCTTTCCTCGCTAAATGATCGATTTGAATTACTTTTGTGAATGATTTGCTGGACTCAAAACAAGAAGCTTGATGACATTGCTCATGTTGGGTTCAGCGTCTCCATCTCTTCTTTTCCCTTTTCCATTTTCATCTTCTTTGCTTCTTTTCAGAATAATTAACTTTCTGGATTTTCGTCTATGAGATCAGATGATGCAAATAACTTAACATGATTGCTGTAAGTGTGGTATTCTCTTAAAAATGAAACAAAGTATATTCAAAACTATGCCTCCATACAGCTACTCATAAGAATGATTTATCTTAGCGCTTTACGGAGAGAACAAAGACGAGTTTGAAAGGATTATTTGTACTATCACCACTGCCGTACCTCTAATTTTAATCTAATAATTAGATTAAATTAATTAGATTAATTTGTAATTTGTCATTTCCTATTAAGCTTTCTTCTTATTAAGCTTCAATAAAACTTCGTATAGTTAAGCCAATCTGTAAATAAAAAAATTACTGAAACAAAGAAAACTAATGCAATTGATTATTATTGTTTTTTTTGTTGTTGTTATTTTAAAATGGTTTCCATATTTCATTTACTAGTTTAAATTTCATTTCATCCAGTTAGTATTTTTTCATCTTCTTTTTCATTATTTTATTTGCTTTTCATAATCTCTCTTTTAGGGTGTTTCAGGATGATGTTCTACCAAACCACATGTTCAGGTGTTTCTTGTCTTTCTGAAAAATATTAAAGGAGACATTTTTAAGATGTGAGTGATGGCAGTTTTATTAAGATAAATGCAGTTTTATTGGTCCTCATTGGTTTTGAAAAGACACTATTACCTGACATAAACTGAACAGACCTGTTTCCCAATTTGTAGCTATAGTATTCAGACACTATGGCAATGACAGAGTTTTGATTGGCTCGGCTATGGAAATGAACTTATGATAGTTTGTGGCTCACTTTTATCTCCTAACCCCTAAGATTCACTGGCCCCTCATTCCTCCCCCAGTATCATCTTTGAATCAAATGTAAAGGTCATGAGAAAAAGGAAATAAACATCAATTGAAGAAGCTCCTGATTGTCAAGCAAATTCTCCTTGTCAGAGAACAGAGAAATAGGACATGTAAAGAGAAACGTGTGGAGAATATAAGTGCTAATGTAAGGGTGTAAAGAGCTAAAAATGTAGGATGAAGCAGAGACCAAAAATAAAAAGAGATCACCATAGCCCCCATTCTTTGCGGTAACTGAAGTTTGACTTTGCCTTGGACTTTTTAAGGGTTTTATTCTCATCTTTAGTGTTTTCTTTTCGCAGGTACTCCGTGCCAGTTAAAAGATGAAAATGAAACAAGAGCTTATTTTTACATTAAATATTTTTGTTTGATCGAATCAGTGTCTTGTTTTCTTTTCTCAGTCAACAATGAGTGGGAGTATTTTCAAGAGGAATACAAGGTTTTCAGGGGGAACAGATGGGGACTCATTCATCATCATAACATATTATAGAGGGGGACTATGGGAGATTAATTGCCATTCAACTGCTAATGAAGGGGGATCATGAGTAAATTAGGGAGCCTTGTAGAAGGGATCAGGGAAATTTTATCATGACTCAACCAGAATCCTGGATGGAAAGGGGCAACATGAAAGTAGCATGTCTTGCTCAACAACACAACAAAGTCACAGGTGATGTAAATTGGTCACTATATATAAAGAGTTTATAAATCTGTTGTTAGCCCTTGGCTGCTCTGAGGACAGGTTCAGACACAACATCAGCTTTCATTGGAAACTTTTACAGTGGCTAATTTACATTATCAACTTAGTTGATAAAACCAAATTATCTTCTAATATTACCTCCTACTGACACAGCACCACAATCTTTAGGAAATAACCTCCTTCATTCAAAATCACTGGTACCCTGGCTGCTTCCATAAACTGGACAAGGCCATTGTCCTTTCCTGCTTTTCACCTTTCAGAGGAAGCATGATTCAATTATAAACATTTTCATAAAAAGGCATGATCATTACCTAGCTAAAAATACCATGCCTACCTAAATTGTAATAAATAACAAAACAGTCTTTGTCTTTCAAATTTATTATTCCCTTGACATTCTTTCTTGAACAATCACACTATTCTAAAACCTCACAAACAAAATAACTGCACATGATTTTTTAAGATACCTTTCTTAAACCAAATCTTAAAATTTACTGTTAATACCAGCACTTGAAGGCAAATTTCTTACCAGTTACAAGGTAAATGCTTAGACTATAAAGATAAGAAAATATATCTATTCACAATGGTCAACCTACCATACATTATGAACACTCTAAGAGGTATCAAGCCAAAAATTTAGAATTTTTTTTTATTTATATGTATACTCCCATCATATTAGTGAGACCTTTACAATCTACTTCAATTGTTTATTTTACAAGTGAAGCCCTGCTGTTGGTGGACATCACCATATCTACATATGTTAGTAACCGCTTGAGTATTGAGATCTTCAAATTGCTGTCCACAGCTGCAACATGAGGACGGTTTTTTCAAGTGCAGAGTCACAGATTTTTCTACATTGCATGACCCTATGCCATTAACAAACAAGGTTACTTTTTTGCTTCTGACTAAAGAGACTAAAACAAAAATTCATGAAAGCCCTACCGTAAGCTTTAGCAGAGATGGGAAAATCCATACAACATTAAGAACCAATTAGATGGCAGAATTTGTTACAGAGCCCACTAAGGAAAAATCAACTCTTGACAATCCTTTGCCCCCTACAACCTCTGCAAGCTCACCCCCTGAAATAAAATAAGTTCATCCCCTTAACAAGCTTGCATAACAAAGCTGTTTGCTGTCAAAATCATAACATGTTTGATCAAATTGCAATTTTACAGTAAGGCCATGACAAAGTTCAATGAACAAGCAAATTCCTAGACGTGTTAAGCATTGACCAATTTTGCAATTTGTAGCTTAATACTCTTGCACTTGTGTGTCACTGCATTTCACAAAGGCTTAGTCACCTTAGACTCCATATTGCATATGCAAAGGTGGAGGAGGGAGGACTTGCAAAGGGGAAAAAACCTTCAGATACTGCATGCACATATCAAGCTGATGACTTTCAACACAAAAGGCAAAACAGAATATTCCTATGCACTCTGGTACAACTAGTATTAGAAGATTGTTCCAACATTTCTGATTTTTTCCTCCAAAAGAGGAAAGTCAAGAGAAACACCACTAAACTTGTTTTGCAGTAGTAAACACCGAGCCAAAAACACCTGAAAAATTAGAAGTTCACAGTAGTATTGGTTTACAGTCCCCGCTTAGAGTTATTAGAGAGATTAAGCACCATGTATTTTTTTCCCACAAACAGCAGAGGGTCATGTGACCTGACATTTCCCACGTTTGCCAGCTGCTGTTTCTACTCAAGGACATTTTTCCCGTTTGTAGGGAACACAAAAACGTGAGTATCTGCAGCCCATTTTTACCGACTATTTCTACATTTTGATTGCTTGCTTTTATAGCTAAGCTTTGTTTAACATCTTAGTTCTATATGAATTGCTTGTAAAGCTAACAGAGTTCAAACTCAAGCAGAAAATACATTACTTCTTTGTATCCATCATTTCTAGTCGCATTGAATGGTGACCGAGAACATTTGCCTTTGGACACTACTTCCCAGTTCTGCCGTGTCCTCGGGAAGCTTACACAGACAAACATCGTGGATGGAACGGCAAACGACTAGCCTACGTTCAGCGTTCGCCATTTTCGCAGTGCTTAATCTACTCCTATTAGCATCTAAGTTCTCCTTTTGGTGTCGCCCCTAAATCAAACATAAGGGTTATGAGAATAAAGGAAATGATAACCACCTAACAAAGCTTGTCGGTATTTTAGCACATGTACAAAGAATAGCATGGAGAATTTGTATTTTGATGTTAAGGCATAAAGAGTTAAACAAGCTGCCTTTAAGTCCAACAACACATCTTCTCAACCCCCACATTTTTTCATAATTTTAATTTAATTTTTTCCTCAGTGACCTGCATACACCTTCATTACCTTTCATTCCTAAATATTTGGTGATAGACACTGCCACCAAGTGAAAAAACAGTCTTATTCATATTTTTCAGAAATCCTTTTTAACTCTAGTAAGTTTGTCAATGTAATGCTATTTCAAGCTTGGTGCCAGAGGTGACTGGTAGCAAACTTCATCTGTCACCCAGCAGGGATTTTTTTCGGTTACTTCAGTTATCCAGTTGGTTTATTGCACAAATGAATAATGGGCTCTTAGAAATCGGTTGTAGTCATTTGTATGAAATGTAAGTTACCACGTATTATTCAAACCTAGTTAAATCTAAATCATTCATCTATTCTCTGGAAAGATCTTCCAACTTTCTTTGGTCCGGGGCTGACCATCTTTTTCCTTGCCTCTTGTCGCCCACTCTCTTTGTGGTCAAATGCACAGTTATGCTGTTCTGGTAATCGGTGTAACTGACAGAAAGTATAACCTACAGGAAAGAAACAGAAATTGCTTCAGTTCTGTATTTTGCATAACAAGTTCTCTGATTTATTTCTATCCCATAGTCATAGCAAATTTAAAGTTCAACATCTTTGTTTACTTGATAACCAATTTCAACGGACATGTCTGTAAACCCTTTAACTTCTACAAGTGAATACCTTCTAATTTCTCCTCACAATAGTATATAAATTTAGCCAAGCCTAAAAGCGGAGCTCCCAAGTTCGTAATATTAATGATAACATACAAAATGTGAATTTGCCAAGACTCGCCTAAGTCACCCCTCCCTTCGTTTTGATAATCTCCCCTACCCTACCCATGCAATCTGAGGGCACATACGTATGTACGTAAGTACACTTGGTCAGTCACATGACAACCAAACGAAAAGAGGTTGACCATATTCCATGGGTATGGGGCTCTGCCCCACGCGCTTCATATGCCTGGGAGCCCCGCTATTAACCTTGAATTAAAAGTAAAGGGAAGAGAAAAGTGGGGCAAGTATGCAATACAATACAATACAATACAATACAATACAATACAATACAATACAATACAATGTTCTTTATTTCAAGAGGGTAAATACATGATTAACCCAGTAAAGAGTTTTCTAACACATGGCCCTCTATAAACCCACCCATCCCACCCAGGGGAGGACATCCATCACACAGCAATCTCGTGTGTGGGAAATTAACGTCTCCAACCCCAACCCTGCAGGAGACAGGACCTCCATTTATTCGTCCCTATCCGAGAAGACTAGAATATCTAACCATTTCTTGATGTTATAGAAAGGCAGCAAATTCTTCTCAATTATTTTAAGACCCTGAGTGTTGGTCCGGCTGGGGCTCGAACCCTCGACCTCCCGCACAACGATCAGGAACAGATGGTGCACGGCTTATTTAGACTTACAAAGCACAATTACCCTTGATTTGTACCTTGGCATCCTTGCACCAATTAACAGGTTGATAACATTTTGCAAGAAACTCGTAGAATATTATTTTAGGATAGGTACAAACCAGACTGAAGCATCTGGACTGCTCCCTCCGCTTTCCAAATCACTAACAACGAACAGAATTCTAAATGGATTAAGGGAACACGGTCCTCAGACCATCTTATTTCAATTCTGCATGAGTGGGATCCATCCCAGAAAGCTTGTACCTATAATTGTGATGCTGTTGTGAAAGGCCCTGCGCATATCAAAGCTCTCACAGCGATACAAGGGTAAATTTATTCACTTCTTCTCAATCACAGATATCCAGGGTCAGGCACCACTCAATCGGGTTTATTAAATAAATCAGACAGCTTACAAAAAATATCATCAACAAATAAGATTAACAAAAAAAGCTCTTCCACACTTACTACACCGACAGTTCCCCAACTCCCTCTGAGCGAGTTCAAGCTTTGCGTTGCAAGTCCAACACCGTTTTCTCTTCTTTTGAAGCGGAGCATCTATCCCCTTATTCCCTGATTCTTTATCTCTACTTGCGTCTTGAGGATCATTTCTCTCTACTTTTAACTTATTTTCTGTATTCAGGCCACATTTTATATAGTTATTTTCGTGTTCACTTTCACGGTTGCCTTCTTGCACAGTACTGGTCGAGGGCTTCTTTTCAACGTCATGTTTGGATTGCTCGAGATTAGACGATTGAGCATTAGACTTATTTACTGAAAGCGACGAACTATTTTCTTCCGTTCTTCCCTTCCTCTGCAATTCTAAGAGAAGACGAAAAGAACAAAAATCATCAAACCTACCCCTCAAAATGAGCTAGACTCGCACAGTGTTTGGACGTACAACTAGATCACAAATAACAGCGTTATAATTGTAAATTTATTTCACATATTAAAAATTAAAAGTTTTCTTACCATCCTTGTAACACTTTGAACACAAATTCAAAGTCTGTGGAGATCTACGCATGAAAAACAAACGACAATTTAATCACATGATATCCCAACGGTAACAAAATGGATTGTCATACCAAATAGAGAGACCTGATTTGTGAGAGGATCACAGCTCCCTTTAGACATCACAACGTTGAACTTACCCCCAAAATCCGCACGGGCATCGCGGTGGCGTACTTTTAGCGTTGTCCATGACTAAACGCAAGTATCAAACAAACAAATTACAAGCGAATTTACAGGGAATCAAGCCCCCTGCAAATTGCAAATTGCAAATTCAAAAAATTTCCTCCGACTGGGTGCCAAAACCACAATCAATTTTCCACTTGCCGAGATGTTTACTACTTTCCAAATATGGAAATATCTAGTTCTCGATCCAGTCTCTCGCATTTCTTGCAAATGCAAAATCGATCCCATTTTAGAGCTTCCATGAAGGCGTTACCATTTCAAACTGCTGGAACATTTAAGAATATTTTCATTGCAATTTAATTACATTAATTTTCTCGCTGTCAGGATGAAACGCAAAGAACTATCAGTACGGAGGCATCCAAAGGTGTAAAAAACGCTGTGTGAATGCGTTTGTTTTCTTCTCCAGCATGGTATCGTAGCAACGGCTAAAAATCATTTAAGTTAAATGTGTTGCCATTTAAGTTTTGTCTCTTGTACCATAAATTTCATATTTCAGAGGTTAAGTTGGTTCAAGGGTTTGGGAAAACTGTCATTCATTCCGTGAAATGATAGTGATGATAGACTAGTCTTTGGGTGCTATCAAATACGGGAGACAACAAAATGTAACGGCTTGTCTAATTTTTGAGGATATTCCCGTTACTTGCTAAAGAACTAACGTCACCTTTCAGAACGGGAAGGGGACGGGTAAAGTGGGCTTTGAGTTTCACTGAGAACAGGAAGGTATTGACTATGCAGCTTGAAATAATATCTCATCTACATGTATACTTTTATTGTCTCATCCTTATCAAGCGACATTTTTGTTGTTTCTCTGGTTTCTAGTAGTTGTGTCTAGAACGAGGCCTGGGGTCTATTTATTGTTGGACGCGGACTGTGCTGTTCAGTACAAAAGGCGCGTTTTCCTTAGTTCACGCGTGGAATGCACGCATGGACTACACGCGTGTAGCAGTTTAATTGCGAGATGATTTACATGTAGTCAAGTAACCTCTTTGACGTGTGGTTCTTAAAGTTTTACAACAGCTAGTTTGTTTTGACGGGGGTTTCCACTCCAGTAATTTTTTCCTGAAGAGCTTGTAGTGCTTCAAAGAGCCATCAATCGTATATTTTCTCCGGGTTTCTCGTCCTCGTCCACGTTCGGATCCTCATGCTCAAACGAGGCCTCCTCCCTGTGAAAATATCAACCAATGTTGTCGTTGGAAAACCAGGCTAGTGGAGAAGGTAATCTGTTTATCTGTTTATGCGACTGATTTGTTTATCCTTTAGTGAAATGATTCTGACATGCTTCTCGCTTGGTAACACATGTACAGTAACTATAATTTCCTTTTTGATCACGGAAGGAAATGCGGATAGCAATAATGATACGATTTTTTTTTTTGCCAACTCCTTGTGTAGTTTTGAATTATGCCGGTTTGAATCTCGTCAAAGATGATATTTTAAACAATCGAAAAAACACCTTATTTTATTTTTACTTCACTCAACAATAAAGCATATGTTTCCTTGTAAATGAATGTGATTACTGCCTATGGCTTAAGGGCTTCATAGAACACAGTCCTTTCCTGATTCCCATCAGCCCCCATATCTAACCATTTCTTGATGTTATAGAAAGGCAGC